GGAGTGCGGGTGCTCCATGTCCTTGGAGTGCGGGTGCTCCGGCACCCTTGGAGTGTGGGTGCTCCATGTCCTTGGAGTGTGGGTGCTCCGTGTCCTTGGAGTGCGGGCACTCCATGTCCTTGGAGTGCGGGCACTCCAGCACCCTTGGAGTGCGGGTGCTCCATGTCTTTGGAGCGCGGGCGCTCCGGCACCCTTGGAGTATGGGTGCTCCGGTGTCCTTGGAGTGCGGGTACTCCAGCGCCTTTGGAGCGCGGGCGCTCCGGCACCCTTGGAGTGCGGGGGCTCCAGCACCCTTGGAGTGCGGGCGCTCTGGCACCCTTGGAGTGTGGGTGCTCTGGTGTCCTTGGAGTGCGGGCACTCCAGCACCCTTGGAGCGTGGGTGCTCCATGTCCTTGGAGTGCGGGTACTCCGGTGTCCTCGGAGAGCGGGCACTCCAGCACCCTTGGAGCGCGGGCGCTCCGGCACCCTTGGAGTATGGGTGCTCCGGCACCCTTGGAGCTTGGGTGCTCCACATCCTTGGAGCACAGACGCTCCAGCACCCTTGGAGCGCGGGAGCTCTGGCACCCTTGGAGAGTGGGTGCTCTGGCACCCTTGGAATGGAGGCGCTCCGGTGTCCTTGGAGCGCAGGGCCTCCATGTCCTTGGAGTGTGGGTGCTCCAGGACCCTTGGAGCGTGGACACTCCATGTCCTTGGAGTGCGGGTGCTCCGGCACCCTTGGAGTGCAGGCGCTCCGGTGTCCTTGGATCACGGGTGCTCTGGCACCCTTGGAGCATGGGCTCTCCGGCACCTTTGGAGCACGGGTGCTCCATGTCCTTGGAGCACGGGTGCTCCGGCACCCTTGGACCACGGGCACTCTGGTGTCCTTGGAGCACAGACGCTCCAGTGCCCGGACGCCGCTTCCCAGCGAGCAGAGGCTGCAGCGCAGCCCGGGCACCTGCACCAGCCCCGGCATTCCCAGCCTCCCGGCCCTGGCAGCAGCCTGGAAAGGAGGCAGATTCCCTGCTTCCACAGCCCCTTCCAGCCCGGCGGGGGGGGACGCACAGCGCAGCCTCCGTGGGGCACAGGGAGCCCCCCAGGCTGACACCCAGTGGGTGCAGCCGCACGGCTGCCCCACACGCCCATCCTGGGAGAGCCGCGGGGACTGGGATTGGGCTGCACCCTGGGCACGTGATGCGGCTGCATCTGGCACCCTGGGGCTCCCACTTGGGCTGCACCCTGGCTCTGTGCTCAGGATACACCCCGCACCCTGGCTCTGTGCTGGGGAGGCACCCTACACAAGCTGCACCCCAGGGCCTTGCATGTGGATTGCACCCTGGCTCTGTGCTCCGCATGCACCCTGCACCCTGGCACAGGTTTGGGATGCACCAGGGGCTTCACCTTGGGCAGTACCCTCAGTTTGTGCTTAGGATGCCCCCTGCACCTTGGACCCATGTCTGGGGACATGGGTGTCTGGGGAGGCACCCCAGGGTCTTACACATGCACTGTACCCTGCACCCTGGGTGTGTGCACAGGACGCCCCCTGCACCCTGGGGTCCTGCAGGGCTGCACCCTGCACTGCAGGGCCCACCTTTGGGTGGCATCGCGCGCCCTCAGCACATGCTCCGGCTCAGCTCTCACAGGATCACTATGGCTAGAAAAGCCCTTCAAGATCATCAAGCCCAACCGTAAACCCGTCACCACCCTCCTGCGAGCCCACGTCCCCCAGCGCCTCATCCCGAACGCTGCCGGGGTGGGCAAATCCCTGCACCAGAGTCCCGGGACGCGGCCCCGCTCCGAGCTGCCTGTCCTGCAGGATGGAAATCCCGCTGCCCGGGCCGGGAGCCGGGTGGGACAGGGCTGGGCCAGGCTGGCACCATCCATCCGTGCGTCCGTGCGTCCGTGCGTCCGTGCATCCGTGCGTCAGGAGGAGCCGCGCGCCGGCGGGAGCTGATCCGTGTCCGGAGCCGCAAGCAGCCCCAGCCGCCTTATCTGATCTCTCTGATCAGCCCCAGCCGCCTTATCTCGTCTATCTGATCGCCCGGCGCGCAGGCTGGGCGGGCAGAGCCTTAACCCGCTGCTGCCCGCGGGGCAGCCGGGCACCCAGGAGCGCCCCGCTGGGCCACCCTGGCCCGGGTCTGGCCCGGTCTGTCCTGGCTCTGTGCGCAGGGTCGTGCCCAGGCGTGTCCCCGGCTCCGTCCTTGTCCGGGCCCAGCCCCGTTCCACGTCTGTCCCCAGATCCGTCCCCCGAGACTTGCCCAGGTCTCTCGCCAGGTCCCTCCAGGACCATCCCCAGGTCTGTCCCAGAACTGATCCTAGATCTGTCTCCATGCACATCCCCAGGTCTGCGCCAGCTCCATCCCCAGGTCTATCCCAAATCTATCCCAGCTCCATCCCAAATCTGTCCTAGGACGCACTCTAGATCTGTCTGTATATAGTCCCTAGATCTGTCCCCAAGTCTGTCCCAGGTCCATCCCCAGGTCTCTCCTCAGGTCCCTCCTAGGTCCATCCCTAGGAGGTTCCAGGTCTGTCCCAGATCTCTCCCAGATCCACCCCAGATCTGTCCCAAACTCACTCTAGGTCTGTCCTGATATACATCCCCCGATCTGTCCCCAGGTCTGTCCCAGGTCCATACCCAGGTGTGTCCCAGATTCATCCCCAAGTCTGTCCCAGATCTATCCCAGGTCCATCCCAGATCCATCCCAGAACTGATCCCAGATCTGTCCCCATATAGATCCTCAGATCTGTCCCACGTCCATCCCCAGGTCTGTCCCAGGTCCGTCCCAGATCCGTCCCAGAACTGACCCTAGATCTGTCCCCAACTCTGTCCCAGGTCCATGGCCAGGCTCATGTCCAGCTCTATCCCGGACTGTCCTGCTCTGTCCCCACTCCAAGCCCCGCTCTGTCCCTCCTCCGTCCCGCTCTGTCCCCACTCCAAGCCCCGCTCTATCCCCGCTCCAAGCCCCGCTCTGTCCTTGCTCCAAGCCCGTTGTGTCCCCTCTCCAAGCTCCGCTCTATCCCCACTCCAAGCCCCGCTCTGTCCTTGCTCAAAGTCCTGCTCTATCCCATCTCCAAGCCCCGCTCCCCTCTCCAAGCCCAGCTCTATCCCCAGCTCCAAGCCCAGCTCTATCCCCTCGCCAAGCCCCGCTCTGTCCCTGATCCCAGTCCCGCTTTGTCCCTCCTCAGCCCCGCTCTGTCCCTGCTCTGTCCCCTCTCCAAGCCCCACTCTGTCCCTCCTTAGCCCTGTTCTATCCCCTCTCCAAGCCCGGCTCTATCCCTGCTCAGCCCTACTCTGTCCCCACTCTATCCCTGCTCCAAGCCCCGCTCTGTCCCTCCTCAGCCCCGCTGTCCCCGCTCTGGCCCCACTCCAAGCCCGGCTCTGTCCCTGATCCTAGTTCCGCTCTGTCCCACTCTGTCCCGCTCTGTCCCCACTCCAAGCCCGGCTCTGTCCCTGATCCCAGTTCCACTCAACCCCGCTCTGTCCCCGCTCTGTCCCCACTCCAAGCCCCGCTCTGTCCCTCCTTAGTCCCGCTCTGTCCCCTCTCCAAGCCCCGCTCTGTCCCTCCTTAGTCCCGCTCTGTCCCCTCTCCAAGCCCCGCTCTGTCCCTGATCCCAGTTCCACTCAGCCCCGCTCTGTCCCTCCTCAGCCCCGCTCTGTCCCCACTCCAAGCCCGGCTCTGTCCCTGATCCTAGTTCCACTCTGTCCCTCCTCAGTCCCTCCTCAGCCCCGCTCTGTCCCCTGTCCAAGCCCCGCTCTGTCCCTGATCCCAGTTCCACTCAGCCCCGCTCTGTCCCGCTCTGTCCCCCCGGGCGGGCGCGGCACGGGTCCCGGGGCGCGGGGGCGCGGGGGCG